TCCTAACTACAATTGAATCCTTCGCTTGCGCGATGCGAGAAAACCTGTTTAACCGGTACTCTAGAGTACAAATACTGCCTGATATTTGTACTCGTCTATGGCGTTATTTGTACTCTACGAAGTGTAGTTGGATAATAACCACATACATTGATGACAGAAGGAGAAATTGCGCTTTGCAATAATTTTTACATAACACATCATCAAAGAAAGTAGAAAAAAAAAATTGTATGCATTGTGCGCTTTCTATATCAGGTAAAAAAAAATAACAGATTTAGGATATTTTTTCCCCACAGATAGACTCTTTAATTTCTTTTTCATCTGTTGTTTTACAATTTCTTAATGAGAAGTTAACTTTTTTATTTAATTACCATGTCCGTTACTCTGTGAATATCATTGTTTTATCATTTACAAACTGACTGGTTCATGTCTAATTTTCGTTTATTTGACTTTCAAATTTACGTGAAACGTACGAGAAATATGTTCCCATTTCGGTAAAATTCGCATTTCCATTGTAAAATACCATCGCAAAACACAGATTCTTGTCTATTAATAGTCCGATGACCTTATCATTATGTGTTTGCCCAAGAGTTTGGAACCTTTTCTATGTCGATCATTATCCTTAACTCTCACTACTTTTATTGCTGAAAATATACTGGTTTTGAATTTTGATTCTGAGAACTGATATGAAATGTGATGAAAGAAAATATTCATGTTTCAGTTATTCCGTACGTCACTGTTTCACAGAAAACGCGTAAAATGTATCATAGGAATAACATGAGCACCACAAACACTGAGAAAAAATGCAAACCATACAAACATAACAAAAATAAATTTATCAAAAGGATCGACATCTGTACAACCAAAGAAGCTTATTTGTTATCAACCAAGAAAACTCCTACTGCTTTCAAATCTAACTTTTCTAACGTATAAGGAGCGGCAGGGATGAATTAAACTAATATAAAGGATAAGAACTGAAAGTAACGAAGCTCTTATGTTTAGTACCTGAATGTTGATTGTCCTTTTACTCTGTTAGAACCTGATCGCATTTATCCGCAACAGCAGAAAAGAATTAATTCACACAATGGTAAAGGTTTTTACAGCTGTTAATTGTTGTTTTAAATAAATGGAAAGTTTTTTAAGACAAGAATTTCCGTCACTTATATTAAAAACCAAGAAAATCAGGATCAAAGGCTCAAAATAACCCAATAATTGAAATGACAAAGACAACCATTGGTATCAGTTCAAAATAGAACGGATAGTTAAAAAAAAATTAAACTTGCCTCACTCAAACATTGTTTGGATCTTACAATGGACAATATCATTTTGTATTGTTCAAGACTGAAATCTTATCAAATTATGTCAACCCAGTAGGCAACTTATGATTCCTGTGAAAAAATTTCAATTTTAAGAGAAAAAACCATTCTAAATTGCATTCCCTCCCATGTTGAACTTAAACAAGACTTGAGAAAACTCTGAAAATGGCACAGAACTAACTTCTGATGTAACTCCCTAAACTTTCAACAGCATACTCCTGATCTTTCTTCAGGTGATGAATTCCATTTGTTATAAGCATAAAATTTATTGATTTAAAATTGACGTGGCTCAGTTTCAACAGGGTGGAAGGCAACCTCATTGCACTAGTACAGAAGCGGTTTTATAATACAAGCTGTAGAGCAAAAATCATTTCTTCTGTTCATCCTCTTTAACAGGAATTTTCTTTCTTTGTCTTGAATGACTGTTAGGTTTCAATGCACTTTGTCTTTTTTCCCACAGATCTGGGCGATATGTAGTAAATTTTTCTCTTGTCACTTTCTGCACCATAAATAAAGGAGCTTTTGAAGCACTGTTAAAGTGAGGAAATAATTTCATAGCAATTAGTCAGAATTCAGATCAGTATCAACTTTTTTTCCACCAAAAAAGCACTTGTAATGAACATTCTGTTGCACCCGATTTGTCGCACATCCCGCAACTGTTGAATATTTTAGGGAATATCCTATGTACAAGGCTAAAAGATTAGGAAAAAAAATTATTAAAATGTTTAAATCAAACGTTTTCGGCTGTTTTTTCCTATCTTTTTCCTAATTTTTCCCCAATCTTTTAGCCTTGTATATAGAATATCCTTTATTAAATGAACATTATGGACATTTTCAGGAATGTTTTCTTAGATGGAAAGACAGAACAATGTTGATTCTATTCCTCTAGTTGAGCTTAAAAGAATGAGATTTTAAAAACATTTTAGAGAAACAGTGACACCCACGCTCTATCGCAGCTTCAAACCGAAACTGATTCATGTCAACATTTCAGGTTGATGTAAAACATTGTTACTTTGCTTCAATAATGTTATTTAAATACTTTTGGAAAATATTAACAATAAAGCACTATGATTTCAGAATGTGCTTTAATTGTTGCATAATACTGATTTGATAATACCCATTCAGTTTCATATTTTGTTCATTAATATTCATATTTTTGATTATCTGGACTCTTGATTAGTTAGACCATCCAACCAGTCCCCACAAGTTCTGCGGATAATTGAGGGTGGACTGTAGCTGCTGGAATTG